AATGTAATTAACTTACAATGTAAACCTCAGCAGGATTCTTGGCAAGCTAATTCTAAAATTGATATTAAAGAATAAAATTATACAAATAGCTAAGGCAATTAAAAGATAAAAGGCAATTTTCACTACTGAATATTAAGATATAGTCAAATTTTAAAATAATAAGAAAGCACCCATTGTCGGTTTGTGTTGGAAGAGACAAATGCTTCAAAGGAGCATACTGGCTATATCCTCATATCTAAGAAGCATTAGTTTCTTAGTGCTACCATAATACAATTCTACAAAGTGGATGGCTTTATACAACAGAAATGCATTTTCTCATAGTACTGGGCACTAATAACCCAAAATGAGAGGCCATGTTGATTTCTCATGAGACATTGTTGAAGAATCTTTCTTACCTTCTGGTAGCTTTAAGCATTCTTTGGTGTGAAGCTGCAATAACTAACACATGATGTACTTCATCTGTTTTCTATGTCTTTTCTCTTCTTTTATAAGGACTCAATTTGAATTGCTCCATATAAAATAAGATAAAGACAAGAGATGCATTGAAAAGACTATTGTCAAAGGATAGTTAATCCTCATTATTCATCGATTCTGCACTTGTGTATATACCTAATTGATGAAATTTATTTGTAACCCCAAATTAATGTTCATTGAACTTCTCAGTTATATAAGGTCATGTATGAGTGAAGAAAGATTTGCGCCATCTGACATAATTTTCCCAGCTGAGATCTAATAAGACAGTTCTCAGCCTTCTTTTTCTAAGTTATTATACAAGAAATGAGTTTCCTTTTGTGGTTTGTTGGGTGCAATTTTTTTCTCATTTCAGTGGCTTGTTTTCTTTTCTTCTTTTTAAAGTTAAGTGTGCTCTACAAAATGGCTGCAAGTTTCTCCCGTTGAAGGTGCCCGATGAACAGTGTCTCAAGGCTACCATATATTTCCTGTTTTTATTCCATCTTTGCTTTCTTGTGACATGCATGAGTTTGGTAAGCGTAACTGAGGGATGGTTATGCCATTGTGAATAAGTATTATTGAAAGATTTGCCCTATCACCAATCCCCATTGTTTGTGTAAATAGTATCCAGTCACTTAAGAGTTGAATCTGTACAAGTCAACATTTCAAGTATTTCAGAGCCTAGCCAGCCTATAATTGTATAATTTACCTTTCTCAACAATATTCTAAAGTCTGCATCATTTTGTAAATTAATAGCATTATGTACAGGTAAAAATAGACCAAAAAGCAAAGGAGAGAAAAAAAACCTATCAAGCCAACAGCAGTCAAAAGAACGCTGAAAAGAAAAAAGAGACATCAAAATTGGTGGCATAAGAAGACACAAAGGTCACTATATAAGTATAAAATCTATCATTGATAAAGAAACCATATTCATAATAAATATATATGCACCAAATGAAAGGTCATCAAAATATTTTTAAACAAATTCTTATAGAAATTAGGAGACAAATAGATCATAATATGAGGGAACTTCAATACATCACTTTCAATTAAAGTTGGATCAACTAGAGAAAAAAATCAACAAATATACAAAAATATTGTATAGCATAATCATCTTGAACACGTAGATATTTGTAAAACACTTCATTCAACCAATATTCACTTCAAATTCCGCTCTAGCACCAAAGGAAGGTATTCTAGAAGGATAGCATCTTAAGTCATGAAGTAAGCATTCAAAAGCATTGAGATGATACAAGCCATCTTTTCAGATCACTATGCTGTAAAATTAGAAATCAGTCACAGAATGAGCAACTCCAAAAATCTAAATAAGTACATGGAAGTCAAACACTCTACTCAAGAACTAGGGGGCAATGGAAGAAATAAAGAACAAAAATACAACATATCCCAACCTTTGGGACACAGAAAAGCTGTCCTCAAATACATCAATAAGACAGAAAGAATGAAAAGAAACATCTTAACATGTCAACTGTAACAATGGTGAAAATGCAGTGAAACAAAATAGCAGATACTAGAAGAAAAGACATAATAAAGATTAGAGAAGAAATAAATGAATCACAAAATTTAAAACTTCTAAAAAATCAGTAAGACAATAAGTTGGTTCTTTGAAAACAACAAAATTAATATACCACTGGCAAGCCAAATACACAAAAAAATTCTGAGAAGATACAATATCTGTGACTAAGAAAGGAAATTTATGATATTAGAACAGAAAAAAAGAGATAACAATATAATGACACAGTTTTAGGAAAAATTATCTTCCAAAATATTAGAAAATCCAGAAGCAATGAATATATTTCTAGAAATGTATTATTTACCTAAATTAGCACAGAATGACATTAACAATCTCAACAGGCCTATAACATTATAATAACTAGATCTAGTAATAAAAATACTCCAGACATCATAAAGTTGGGTCCAGATAGTTTCACTGGAAATTCTATCAAATATTTAGAGAATACTTAATACAAGTTTAAAATAAATGATTCAAGAACATACAAAAAGAAAATACACTACCAAACCCCTTTTATTAAGTAAACATAGCTCTGTGAGTTAGTTAATTGTGCCAGCCTGGCCAATAATCACATATGGGGCTAGTTGAAAGGCGGAGGGATAAATGGGTGGTGAAGCCTTGCCTTTCTAATTCTCGGGTCTCTTGTTTTGTGATGGTTGCTCCGGGTGCAGCTGCCTTAGCAGTTCCCTGCTTCAGCTTGCAAGATTGACTTCCTACAAGACCTCCCCAAGGAGAAGCTACATGGACCTATCCCG